GGGAAAAAGCATCCTGGAAAGAACCCTAGGGTGGTGCCAGCAGAATGGCATTCAAGTACATATCCTGCTGCTAACTAGCTGCATGCATTTCTTGAGTCACTTCATCCCTCTGGGCTTGTTTCTTCATTTGTAAATAAGGATGTTAGATTAGGTCACTGTTTCACAATGTATTTGGCTGTTGTTGTTGTCTCAACACCAGAGTGGACATATCCATTATGCAAAGTGGGCACGGTGTCTGGGACCCATGATACTTGTAAGGCCCATGGAAATGGGCCTTTAACTTCTTTTACTGTCAGAATAAAAGAAATGAGCTTTAATGTTGAAAGTTATTACCTTTTTAACAAAACAGTTGTAAAATATAATTTTAACATATTTTTTGTGGAGGGAGTGGCCCACAAAGGCAGTAGTGACGAGGGCCCTTGGAAGTCATTCCATGGCCCTGCCCAGCACTCTGCAGGGAGGGGACACACTCTTATCAGTAAGGGTGTCTCATTGCAGCTCTGATTCTCAATGGAAGAAGAAGGAGCTTTGTATTTGGAACCACTTCCCACCCCTGAGTGTTTCCTCCATGCCCACAGCACTAAGAAATCATGACAGAAGATCCCATACTGTTCTGTTCCCAGAGTTCTTTGTTTCCTATCTGTTATCATTTATCTGTCTATGTGTCTGGTTCTCTTACTAGACCTCAAGCTCCTTCTCAGACTCTGCTTTCTGGTCTTTGTACCCAAGCGCCTGGCACTTAATATATACAGGCTCAATAAATGTTTGCAAGTGAACAAATGATATACTTTATTGCCTACTCTAGCCATTTATGGTTATAAATATCTCTGCCACCTGGGGTAGAAGGAGGAGGAGATGTGATGAACATCAGTAAGACACTGAGAATATAATAGTATTTTCCTAACTATAAACAGAAACTTGAAGGACTGGGGCCAGGCAGGAGGAATCGCTGTGACTCCTGGCTGGGCCGCCATCTGGATTCTAGACCTCAGGCCCAGGGTTTCAGTTTGTCTTCTCTGTGGGACCTCCGTGACTCTTTGCCCAGTCAGAGGAGTTGGTTATCCAATGAGTGAGATTCAAGGGTGAGATGAGGTGGTTTTTCTAAGGCCTCAAATGTAAATTATTAGGTTTTTTGGTTTGTTTTTTCTGAAACACCATCACCCAGAAGTCTGTATTAAAATGCAAGTATTTTACCTCAGGGAGAGTAAAACAATAAAAAAAAAATAATGTCTTAAATGCAATAGCAGATGTGATTTTATCAGTTAATTATTACAGAGTAGTTAAGAGTGAGTAGGTAAATTTCATTGAGTACTTGGATGGAAGCTGGAAGACCTGGGAAAAGCCCAGACTGGGTATGCTCTGGGGAGAGTTAAGTGCAGACCATGAGAAGAACTGGAGGAGGGGACTTAAGGCCTGATTTCCATTTTCTCTGGGGTAGGGCCTTTCAGGAGAGCCTACCCTGGATGTAAAGGTTGAGGACCTCTCCGTTGGTATGGTGAGTTTCCTGATCCTTAGCTCAAACGATCGTTTTTCCTTTTCTCTTACTCAGTCCCAAGTATGTTTCAGAGAGAAAGGAATGGAAGAAAAGTCCATGCAAAAAGTGACCAGATTGGATGTTAAACCTGAATTCTAGGTTCTGGGGGTAAACAGATGAATAAGAAATGGTCCCTACCTTGGGGCAATTTGCAGTTCAGTGGGGTAAGACACTATTTATTTGCAAAAGAAGGTATGTAGAATGACACGGGGACCCTGAAGAAGGGAAACTGTATCATTCCCAGTAAATAAAAATTTGTTATTCTTGGTACAAACCTGGAGTCAAAAAGAAAATGCATGTCCACTATATCACTCTCACATGTTAAGATGATAATATCTCCTAGTTGGATTAATAGCTATTAGTTAAATGATGAGAACAGAGGGATCAACACATACCCAATCTGCCAGTGTGTTGCTCATAAATGGCTCTTGGGAAGTTGTAAAATGTGTGTGCAATCGTGTGTTAACACATTATTCTTTACAGGTTTATGGGGGGGTGGAGGGAAATATGCATAGTAACAAAACTATGTATGCTTCAAGGAAAAATTTATTTGTATTGCTGAATAATGTGTATACCCAATATGTACCTATGAACATGTGTATCAATTCATTATATATCATTGGGAGAATTTCTAGTCACAAAAATAATAAAATGTATTTTAAAGTCCCCATAAAGTTATAATATTTGCTTAATTGACTTTGATCTTCCTGAGTCCCCAGCAGCTCCTGTTTAACTAGTTTATCACAGATCAAAATTATTCAAAAGCATATGTCTGCATTTAGAAGGTGCCAGAAACCTCTCAGGAGCTGGCTCAGAGCTAGTCTTCTCAGGACTAGCAGGCCAAGCAGGTGTCTACCATATTTTAATTTTTCTGAGACAAATGAAAAGTAAAAGACGACTTTCAGGTCACTGAAGTCTTCTAGAGAGTAGTTTTTTGCTTCTTAGGCAAAGTACTGCATATTTCCCTCCCTGATCTGAATATAGTTAAAATACAGCATTTAAAAGAAAATCAACAACCCAATCCAAAAATGGGCAGAAGACCTAAATAGACATTTCTCCAAAGGAGATATACAGACTGCCAACAAACACATGAAAGAATGCTCAACATCATTAATCATCAGAGAAATGCAAATCAAAACTACAATGAGATATCATCTCACACCAGTCAGAATGGCCATCATGAAAAAATCTAGAAACAATAAATGCTGGAGAGGGTGTGGAGAAAAGGGAACCCTCTTGCACTGTTGGTGGGAATGTAAATTGATACAGCCACTGTGGAGAACAGTATGGAGGTTCCTTAAAAAACTACAAATAGAACTACCATATGACCCAGCAGTCCCACTACTGGGCATATACCTTGAGAAAACCATAATTCAAAAAGACTCATGTACCAAAATGTTCATTGCAGCTCTATTTACAATAGCCTGGAGATGGAAACAACCTAAGTGTCCATCATCGGATGAATGGATAAAGAAGATGTGGCACATATATACAATGAAATATTACTCAGCCATAAAAAGAAATGAAATTGAGCTGTTTGTAATGAGGTGGATAGACCTAGAGTCTGTCATGCGGAGTGAAGTAAGTCAGAAAGAGAAAGACAAATACCGTAAACTAACACATATATATGGAATTTCAGAAAAAAAAACTGTCATGAAGAACCTAGGGGTAAGACAGGAATAAAGACACAAACTTACTAGAGAATGGACTTGAGGATGTGGGGAGGGGGAAGGGTAAGCTGTGACAAAGCGAGAGAGAGGCATGGACAGATATACACTACCAAATATAAGGTAGATAGCTTGTGGGAAGCAGCCGCGCGTAGCACAGGGAGATCAGCTCGGTGCTTTGTGACCGCCTGGAGGGGTGGGATAGGGAGGGTGGGAGGGAGGGAGACGCAAGAGGGAAGAGATATGGGAACATATGTATATGTATAAGTGATTCAGTTTGTTATAAAGCAGAAACTAACACACCATTGTAAAGCAATTATACTCCAATGAAAACAAAACAAAACAAAACAAATAAAAAAGAAAATCAAATCCACAAAACATTTAGAAAATGAAAAATTACATATATCAAAACAAATGGGATACATATAAAACCACACTGAATAAAATTCATGGTACTGAATACATTCTTCATTGTTTTTTTAATCTTTATTGGAGTGTAATTGCTTCACAATACTGTGTTAATTTCTGTTGTACAACAAAGTGAATCAGCCATATGCATACATATATCCCCATATCCCCTCCCTCTTTAGCCTCCCTCCCACCCTCCCTATCCCACCTCTCTAGGTCATTGCAAAGCACTGAGCTGATCTCCCTGTGCTATGCTGCTGCTTCCCACTAGCTATCTGTTTTACATTCGGTAGTGTATATATGTCGATGCTACTCTCACTTTGCCCCAGCTTCCCCCTTCCTCCCTACCCCATGCCCTCAAGTCCATTCTCTATGTCTACGTCTTTATTCCTGCCCTGCCACTAGGTCCATCAGTCTAACATCAAAGATAAATGCATAAACCAATTAATTAAAGTAAGAAAACTATAGAAATGATCATAAATCCAAGAGCTTATTTTTGGAAAAATATAAAATAGAAAAAATTTTACTGTACAAATCAAGAAAAAATAAATTGAAAGAGATTCTGAAGCATATATATATATATATATAAATGCATTTTAAAGTATATTCTATTTATTACAAAAATATGTTAAGTCCACAGGAGAATGAAATCCTATGCTATTTACTTGCATTCTAGAAGGATTCCCAAAACATCTGTAGGAAAGATTACCTTCCCCACAGGCTACTTATCCAACACTTTGCAGATTTCAAAACATCTGAAAAATGTATTGAAGCTGTAGTTGGTATTTCTTTGATTTTGTTCTTAGCCTTGTTCCATTTACTTGTGTTCAATAAACTAGAACTGTTAATTCATCCCAAGGAAGGTACAACAAAAAAGCTACCTTCCTAAAGGCCTTCTTTTCTCATCTCAGAAAATATCTATGAGGAAGATTTGAGGCTCTCATCAGAATGGCTTTACCTAAGCTGAATTTAATTAAGAGAGATAATTAAGTTTTGTGTCTCTGGCTGACAAATGCTAATACCCGGCAGTCGAAATGAGATTTCTAAAGAGAGAGATGAAATTATATTGGATTGTGTATTATTCCAGGTTTCTCATCGAAACCTGTTGAAAGAAGTGGACTGGCTTTGGAATGTACATAGGAGAAAGTAGTTCAGAGTAGCTCCATTCTGGGCAGATAGCAACTGTGGTGGAGAGGACTGGAGTGGTTGGGTTATAGAGCAGAGAGAGTTCAGGTCAAGGAAGGAACTGAGAGGATGCTGGTCCAGCCCTCATTTAACAGATAAGGACACTACTCCCAGCAGCATGCAGTGAGGTAGCCAGGGGAGCACAATTGCAAAGAGGTGACTGGGGTAGCAGCCCAGGTTTTATAAGGTGTCACTGCCTCTGTGAGATTCCTAGAAGGGAAAAACGCAAGACTGCAGAGCACCAATTACTCACCAAGGGTGGTGCTCAGAGAAATTTGGCAGGTCTAAGACCTTACTGGGTTAGGTTGCACTGTGTCCCTAGTGCCACCCAACAGGGTCACCCTGTCACTCACATGCCTCTTTCTCTGCCAGGTCCACTGCAACAACATGTTTGCTAAAGGTGTGAAGATTTTTAAGGAGGTACAGTGCTACTTTCGCTCTGAAGCCAATGAATGGGAACCTAACGCTGTCTCCTTCCCCCTTGTCCTGGATGACGTCAACCCCAGTGCTCGGTTCGTCACGGTGCCCCTCCACCACCGCATGGCCAGTGCCATCAAGTGCCAATACCATTTTGCTGACACCTGGATGATGTTCAGTGAGATCACCTTCCAATCAGGTTGGGAGCTTGGGGGCCCCTTAGGGAACTAGGAGCAGGGTGGTGAAGGAGGAAGGCGGTGTTCAGAGCTTCTCACTGGCGGGTGTCTGAAAGGAGGACGGTTGTACAGGTGGCTTCTCATGGGTAGATAGAGGGACTGTTTTCTGCCACTAGTGTAGTTGTGGAAGGGTAGGGATGAGGATGTAGAAGTGGACAGAATGTTTACTTGGCTCTCACATACATTTGTCTAAAAGAGATGTAAGATAAAGGATTAAAGAAAATGAGTCCAATGTGTTAAAACCTTTATGTAAATCAAGCCAGTTAAGGGGAAGCGCACCTAAACATTATTAAAATATTTAAATGAAGATGTCTAAATAAAAGTAAAGAGAACAATGAACCCCCATCCATCACCTAGCTTTACTAACCATTGATTTTTTTTTTGTCATCCTTGTTTCATTTATTCCTCCCTTTTTGGTATAGTATTTTGAAGCAAATCTGAGACATTATTTGATTTCACTACTAAAATTTTAGAATACACCTGAGAAAATAACATTACCTTCATAATAATGCCATTATAACATCCAACAAATTTATTAGTAAATAATTCCTTAATATAATATAATAGCCAGTCCACATTCAAGTATCCCTGATTGTCTAATAGTGTCTTACTACAGTTGGCTTGATTGAATTAGGATCCAACTAATTAGCCCCTCTTGGTGTATTTCCTTTATTATATTACTAGGTGGTATCTCTTTTAACCTAAAACAGTTTTTAAAAAAAATTCCATTCTGGTTTTGCTGATTACTTTCTGTGGTGTAATTTTACTGGAGCTTCTATCCTCTGTCATCCTGTAGACTGGTGGTTATATCTACAGGTGAATTTGATTCAAATTCAATATTCATTTTTGCCAAGGATTTTTCACGGATAGTGCTGTGTACTCTATGCTGAACCTCATCATGGGGATGTTATGTTAGAATCTCTTACTTTTAGTGATGCTAAGATTGATCTCTGGGCTCAGGTGGTTATCCTTTCTTTGAAAAGTTCCCAATGAACTTTCTCCTTAGGTTTAATCCTCCATTGATGACCAGTGCTTAAATTATTTCATTAGGAGTTGCTAAATGGTCATTTTCTAATTCTTTTATTCCTTCTGCATTTATTACCTGAATTTCTTCTGAATAGGAGAACTATTCCCCATATGCTTGTTAACCCTGAAATACAGTTCGTGTGGGAAGGGCAGCATACATAATTAATTTTTTCATCAATTTACAGAGTAATGAGTCAATGCTCTAGCAACCTTCAGTGGTATCCAATAGATTTTATTTTGGTTTTCATCCTCACTAACATTAAAGAGGACACATTTTTAGAGGTGTGTTTAAAAAAAGGATTTTTAAAAAAAATTTACTTATTTGGTTGCGCTGGGTCTTAGTTGCAGCAGGCGGGCTCCTTAGTTGCAGCTTGCAGGCTTCTTAGTGGTGGCTCACCAGCTCCTTGGCTGCAGTACATGTGTTCCTTAGTTGCGGCATGCGAACTCTTAGTTGCAGCATGCATGCAGGATCCTGTTCCCTGACCAGGGATCGAACCCAGGCCCCCTGCATTGGGAGTGCAGAGTCTTATCCACTGTGCCCCAGGGAAGTTCCCTTTCTGAGGATTTAAATCTTATGACAGGATTCTTTACCTGCCTTAGAGAAGCATCCATCTCTTAATCAAAATAGAAGTCACTAAGTATATATGTACAGTTGACCCGTGAACAACATGGGTTTGAACTGCACAGGTCTATCTGTATATGGATTTTTTTCCATAGTAAATATTACAGTACTACACAATCCACAGCTGGTTGAATCCATGGATGCAGGACCTCGGATATGGAAGAACCATGTATATGGAGGGCTGATTTTAAGTTATATGCAGATTTTCCACTGTGCAGAGTACTCAGTGCCCCTAACCTGCACGTTGTTCAAGGGTCAATGGTACATCTCAAAGAGGAATATAATTACTTAATTCAATATTCTTCCTGAATGCAGATTTTCCACTGTGCAGAGTACTCAGTGCCCCTAACCTGCACGTTGTTCAAGGGTCAATGGTACATCTCAAAGAGGAATATAATTACTTAATTCAATACAGTTTCTTCCTGAGAATCTCTCTCTCTTTTTTTTTTTTTGAATCTCTTCTTTTTTATTCTACTGACCGGAGTCCTTTTAGACACTGTCTTGAATCTCAGTCTTAAGGGTCTGACTTTACAGCACTTATCTGATTGTTCCTTGTATATCTCCTTCACTGTTACTTCCTCTTTATACCATATACTACTTACAATGAACATGTGTGCATTCATGCATAAAACATTATTGAGCATCTACTATATACCATGCACTGTCTTAGTTATTAGGTTACAATGACAAACAAGACAATGTCCTTGACCTAAAGGTGCCCAATGTTTCATAGAAGATGGATGAGTAAACTTAAAATATGAAACACTGTGGTATGTACTAAATGATACAGGCACTGGGTACTACGGAGCCAAAGAAGTAAATCCAAATCAGACTTAGGCAGGAGTATATTATTTGGGGTAGGGTGGGCTACTGTAACAAACACTCCAATAACTTATTATTGCTGACTGATTATTATTTATTATTACTGATAGTCTTTGCATATTCTAATTCTTGACCCCCTTGATTAGATAAGTCAGAGGAAAAAATTAGTTACCAACATCAATCTGTCAAATACACTTTTGGGAGCTAGTCCTAGAAGCTTCAACATCACTGTAAAGGATACTCTAATTTATTTCTAAGGAAGAAGGCTTAATTTATAAATTAAAGAGCTAGGACTATGAGGCATAGTGAAAACTCTTTTGTAAAACACCGTAATTTCCTTGAAGGGAAAGCACATCTGAACCCTATGTCTATCCTGTGTCTACTTACCCATTGTATTCTCTCTACATTTTGTTGAATTTGGATCTCACTTCCTATGCATGATTTCTGATAATGTGTGGTCACAGCCCTCTGATAACTCTCTTTAACTTTTTTGTACCATGACACTTAGTAGGTAATAACTGAAACAAAATTTTTACAAAAGAAAAGTTGCCCTTACTATTTAGATGAATGGCAATATTTTTTACTTAATATATTATATGATTTCATTTCTAAGAAAGGCTTGTAGCAACCCAGTAAATCGATTTCACAAAGTGCTAGCTTACAACCTGCCTTCAGAAAAACCACTACCGAGCTGCCTTCTCCCCAGCTCTGACTCACCCTTGTTTTGTGACAGATGCTGCTATGTACAACAACTCTGGAGCCCTTCCCACATCGCCTGTAGCACCCACAACCTATGGTATGTATGCTTCTTGGTTATAAAAATTAAGTTGAGGGCCTCCCTGGTGGCGCAGTGGTTGGGAGGCCACCTGCCGATGCAGGGCATGCGGGTTCGTGCCCCGGTCCGGGAGGATCCCACGTGCCGCGGAGCGGCTGGGCCCGTGAGCCATGGCCGCTGAGCTTTGAGGGTGAAACTGGGAGTGCCATTAATAATTACATCAATTCAATGGGCATAGACTAGGAAGGACTGTTTTAGACAAATTGGGATGTATAAATACCTTAAGAATGAGATGGAGGGCTTCCCTGGTGGTGCAGTGGTTAAGGGTCCGCCTGCCGATGCAGGGGACGCAGGTTCGTGCCTGGGTCCGGGAGGATCCCTCATGCCGTGGAGTGGCTGGGCCTGTGAGCCATGGCCGCTGAGCCTGCGCGTCCAGAGCCTGTGCTCCGCAACGGGAGGGGCCACAATAGTGAGAGGCCCACATACCGTAAAAAAAAAAAAAAAAATTAAGTTGAAGGGACCTCCTGGAGGATGAAGAAGGGTGGAGATTTGCAAAGGCTTGACTGTGTAGCAGGCTTGATACCAGGTGGCTTTCAATGAAGAGTAGCTCTGGAAAGATAGGACAGACCACCTCCAAAGTTAAGGGCCCAACCTCACTCTCTTCCCTGCTGTTCCAACTGCTTCTTAGAAGTTTGGGAAGCTTGGAGCCAAAACAGGGAAAGGGATATTTCTAGGTGAGACCCATTGTAGGGGTCTCAATGAAGGAATGGAACAAAAAGCTAGTCTCTCCAATTGGAGAGAAATATGGAAAAGTGTATGCATTGCTTCAAACAGTCACTGTCTGTATAAGTCAGCAATCTGGGAAACACGTGATCAAGTGTCTCCAAAGAGGACTCTCAGCTGCCTTGGCATGTCTCAATGCAGAGTGAAACCTGTTTTTCCTGAGGTGTGATTAGGGGCCATGGTATAAAGGGAGCAAAATTTTGGGAGGAATGGAAAACCTCTCCATTATCCAGTCTAACACATGAGGAAGAGGAAGCTACTGTCCCATGGATGAGGGCCGTAGGATATAAGAGCACAGGAATACAAGAGTAGCAAGACCAAGTGTTAAGTAGCATCTTGTGGAATTATCCTGAAGGAATAGGTTCTGCCTTCTTATCTCTAGTCCAAGCCCTTATGCTCTTCCTTGCCCCTTGAGATGGTAATATTCTCCGTCCTTCTTTTCCTGGTTACAGATCCAATGCTTAAAGTTGATGACAGCAACACTCGAATCCTGATTGGCTGCTTAGTGGCCATAATCTTCATCCTCCTGGCTATCATTGTCATCATCCTCTGGAGGCAGTTCTGGCAGAAAATGCTGGAGAAGGTGAGGAAGTGCAGGACAATCACGGGGTAGGAAGCTGCTCCATCCTTTCCTGTGCTGCTTCATTAATATCCAAGCCAAGTTTCTCACAGTTCTATTCCTACTTCTTTTTGTACTTGAAAGTTATGGTTGGGGAGAACCTGCCAGTCCAGTGGTTAGGACTCTGTGCTTCCACTGCAGGGGGCACATGCTTCCCCCCTGGTTGGGGAACTAAGATCCTGTATGCCATGTGGTACGGCCAAAAAAAAAGAAAATTATGGTTATGCATCCTTCTGAGTGCCTCCTCAGATTCTTTTAGTCTAGGCCAAATGATCTGTATACTTTCTATTACATTTGTCTAACACTTTACAGTCTGCAAAGACTTTTTCCTTGATTTTACTTGAACCTCACTGAATAATTGTGAGTTGGGCAGAGTAGTTATATTTAACTGTTTTGCTGATGAGAAAATGTGATGTGCTCAAGGTCATACAGTTAATATCCTGCTTTCTATGCTTGTTCTAATTGTCAGTCTTGAAATTTGTTGACTTCTTTTCTTCTAAAATATATACCTTTCACCATGGATGGAATATCTGACTTTTCTTTGTGTCTTAGACCAGATAGCAATTCTGGGCACTGCTGCTAAATGTGTGATACTCTTGGGGTTGGCTGATGATAAAGTGTTTCTACCTTTAGTCATGGACATTGTCCCTGGTCAAATGGATGTAGACTGTGAGAGATCATAGATACCCTGGGCTGTGAGGCTTTGAGGTGCCCATAGAGGGCAGGGAACAGGAGGGATGGAATAGGCTGATTGTGTTTATAGCCTAAATATTTGGGGATGGGATCTCAGAGGAGACCAGTGCCTATGTAGAGTACATACCAGACAAAGGGAAAGGGCACTGTGAGAATGGACTGGAACCTTCTGAACTCTTTGTGGGTAGGACAAGAGGAAGAGGCTGAAATCAGAAAAGTGAGGGGAATGACCCAGACAAGTAGCATGCAATTCCTTCTGATGTGTTACACATTCAAGTTCTGAGATGATTGAGGTTTATTTTAAGGACTTTAGGCAGGAATAGTTCACAGAAGAGAGGATCTCTTTGCTTCCCACAGAGACTTCTAACATTAGTCTAAAAATTAAATTAAAGCTTTCAATCCATAAATAGTGACTGAAGGCTGAAAGGCAGAATCCACAGAGAGCTCACCCACTGGCATGATGAGGCAACATCAAAACCTTTTGTCTTTTAGAATGCTAGAACACACGTGGTATCTAAATTCCAGGATGCGGGGTAGCAAAGAGTGGTGGTGGTAGCAGCTGATGGTCTGATGGTTCATTGGACAGCTTGAAGCTGTGTTCTTACTGAACAGTCTGTTATGACCGCATTTTAGTTGAGGGGTGAGAGTCTGTGTTCTCTTCTCTGTGAGCTATTTTTCTCTTTATTTGAGCCAGAATTTACCACTATTTGAGTCTTTCTTCTGAGTCCCACTGGCATATATTCATGGGCTGGGAGAAGAATTTTGGATTGGAGACTCTCCAGGTAAAAGGGAGAACAAAAATTTTGCCCTTGAATATTTAACTTGGTCCTTCAAGAAATTCTTTCTGTACCTGTACATCCTGAGTAAGATAACTCAAGATGCTCTGTAATGACACAGGATTTCTTCTGGGGGAAAGAATTTTTTTGTAGAAGACCCTTAATCATACCTATGTATTCCAAATACATTGCTCAAAATATGCTGTAGCATTATCTGCAGGATACTTACAGTAGTGGTGTCCTCAGAATTCTCTCTTTGAGAGAGTCAACCGATGTTTATTGAGTACCTAGTATGTGATGGGCTCCATGCTCAGTACTGAGGATATTACTGCAACAAAGGAACTCTCAGTCTAGGGTATGGAGCAGACATCTAAGTTTCTCCACTGAGCACCCAAAGTGTGTTTGTTGGAGTAGAACGTTTCATGTGTTTAAATCCAAATAGTCACCTATACTTAGGTTATGAGATTTTCCTTTTGAAGGAGCAGGCAGGTCATATTAAATAGAATGATGGAACAAATAGCTGTTTTATTCTTCTTATTCCTGTGTTAGGTATAATTCATGTTAGTATCCCTAGCACCTAGGGCTTTCCTTTCTTATTTTGTAGCCATTTTATTTTTGGTTAGTAAAAATGCAGGGTCAAGGGAGTATTACCCTAATCTACAATGCCAGAGTGGTCAGGTGAACTACAGATTCATCATGTTACAGCACATTTGTTGCGTTAATAAGCATTTTAATTTATGCCTACACAAAATCAATCAGTTGAGTGGTGTCAGGAAAACCCATTATTTAACAGAACATTGAAAACTCTAAGACTGAGAAATTCTTTGGCTACTGATAGGTTCTAATGGTGTCGCGTGAATAATGCTTGTAAATGTTTCAATGGAAGTTAATTAATGTTGGCAGTGCAGAAATTTGGAAGTCAAATTCTGCCTTGAAGAAACGAAAGATGATTCTGAGTTTCTACAACACAGGCATTTGTGGAACCAGACTGAACCCCTGTCATTTGCATTGCTTCTGGAGTTTGAGTATTAGAGAGTTATTTCATCTGAGTGGAAGAGTTGGGTTTAAGAAGAGGAGGGAGTGATGATCCCTTTTGTGTCAACATGCCTTTCTCCCCTGTCCTTCTCTTTCAGGCTTCCCGGAGGATGCTGGATGATGAAATGACAGTCAGCCTTTCCCTGCCAAGCGAGTCCAGCATGTTCAACAATAACCGCTCCTCATCGCCAAGCGAGCAGGAGTCCAACTCCACTTACGATCGCATCTTTCCCCTTCGCCCTGACTACCAGGAGCCATCCAGGCTGATACGGAAACTCCCAGAATTTGCTCCAGGGGAGGAAGAATCAGGTGAGGATGAAACAGTGAGCAGAAAATTGAGGGACAAGATTTATGAAGGTGTGACACTATTGCTCCTACTCAACCAAGTCTAATTTTAGCCGAGAGAAGTCCACCTTCTCCTGGGAAGTCCACACTGTCTTTCTAGATTTGGTCTACTGCTGCTCCTAATTGAATCTGGACATCTCTCCTTTGCTACTGCACGTAGCAGATGTTTGGAGGGACCCACATGTCAGAAGAAGAAAAATAAATAAAATGTGCTCCTAAGGCGTTAACACCAGAAGAACCTAAACAGTCCAACTAGTCCAACCTTCTCATTTTTCATAGGAGGAAAGTGAGAAGGCCCAGATAAGGTACTCACCCAACATCAAACACCAATAGGGGTAAATTCAGGACTAGAATTTCACTTGGAGAAAAAACAACGAAGCTAAAGAGATCCTAGAATTCCCAGGTTTTAGTCACCTAGATAATTGAGTTATTCAACTTTTGTTCATTTCTCTTTGGTGAAAATTTACTTGACTAATACAAGATTTTATTACGAGAGCAAATATTTCTTGTCTTTCCTCAATAAAGCATTGCTTCAGTAAAACGGTGCCAATTGATTCACATTCCAGTGTCTTAAAAGGGCTGCAGAGTGACATCAGAGGGGATGCTGGGGTCATCGCTGAGGCTCAGAGCAGCTTTTCTGTCCATAATGTCAGCATCCGAGGAGTGACCCCAGTCAGTGGAAGAGGACTGATGGTGTTCAGGGGAGAGCTGATAGGAGAAGTAGCAGGACTAACCATGAGAGCAGAGGCTTTTCAAGGGAGTCCTTCCAAAGGAAGAAAGGAAACTAATGTGTATTTACCACTCAGTGGATAGCAAACATTGAAGGAGCGTATTGAACTACAGGAATTTTACAGAGACAGCAAGAATAAGGATGTAATTTATTTCCTAGGCCGAACCAAAGTGATCTACCTACTTTCTGAAGTCTAAAACATCCCCCCTCATATTTTAATATTTTTTTAAGTTAGGATGTGTCTTAAGCTAGATCATATAAATTTAATCACAGTTTTCAATCCCTGGAATAGGTCATTAAAATCAGTGATTATATCTTAAAATTAAGGAAATATGCCATTAAATCCTAAAACTTCAATACTCCTACCCTGACTAGTATAGCGAGCCTTCCTGGAGCTTCACCACAATTCCACAAGATTAACCAAGGAGGTTATTAATGATCACGTAGTTATGAGAAGATAAGAGATAAAATGGTGCCTACATTCTGTAGGCCACAAGAAAGAATCTCCAGAGGAACCATTCTCCAAGTAAGAATGTCATGGCATAGGTTAGGCTGTCTTGGGGGCATGTTTTCACTCTCTTCTCATATTTCCTTTCTTGAAGATATCTCCAAAGAGGCCCCTTGGAACGAGACTCATTGTCCCTGTCTTTGCAGGCTGCAGTGGCATTGTGAAGCCAGTCCAGCCCAGTGGGCCTGAGGGTGTGCCCCACTATGCAGAGGCTGACATTGTGAACCTCCAGGGGGTGACCGGAGGCAACACCTACTCCGTGCCTGCCATTACCATGGACCTGCTCTCAGGGAAAGATGTGGCTGTGGAAGAGTTCCCCAGGAAACTCTTAACTTTCAAGGAGAAGCTGGGAGAAGGCCAGTTCGGGGAGGTGAGCTGATTCCTTGAGTGGGGCCTCCAGTCCTTGGTAGTTCAAAGGAAGTGGTTGAATAAAAATGGTCAGTAGAGCAAACTGTCCCATCCAAAGTGGATTCACACCAAATGTCTCCTGCACTTGTCTCTCCTTGTATTGTTCTCTAGAAGACTAGTATTGGTCAGCCTCATCTTTGTCAAACAGCTGTGGAAATCCTGGGAATTCTGATTTCTATATAAGAGTTTTTAAAGCAGGAAAGTCACTAGACTTAGATATTCTGAAAAACATTCAATATTTTCAAAAATTTTTACAACAGGTTACAAAGGGTGGGGACCCATAAGATGTGATCATCTTTTATAAACTGTCCAAGAACATTCTGCTATTGGATAGCCACTTTGTTTTTTCCCTTTTAATTGGAGTTACATGTAAAGTGGTCAGAAAACAACCTCGCCCCTGCCTTTGGTCCCAGAACCAGCCACTAGGGAATGAATCACTAACCAAGATAAGGAAGAACACACTTCTCAATTGCCCTCAGAGTGATGCATGTAATATTTGACTTTTCACTCTTACATCAGTCACATGAGCCTTCTGAGAATTCAAAGCAATGATTTAAGTGGCAACAGAAGCTCTTCAACACCACCATCTAAATTCCAAATGTAATTTGGTTTCATAAGAATATGTTATTGGTTTCCAGCATGGGTGGCATGCTTTGACCTTCGTTAGGTTTGGTGGTGGTGGAGGTAGAAGGGTCCACGGCATCTATTTGTGGTGTTATATACACTCATTCTGTCTCCTGGGTTGAAAACACAGGCTTGTTATTACAGTTACTAATGCCTAGAGGTTCCTGATAATGCTAATCCCATACTAAGGGCTTACCTTAGAGAAGAAATTGCCTTATGTTTTGCACGATCCCGTAACTAAACTTCCTTGAATCAAAGTTCAAGTATTTATACCGAATGACATTTTACAGTGGGCTATGCTTTAATAAAATACCGTGTTATAGATTCATTCACATATTTAATGTTCCAATCAAAGTATTTCTTTTATAAAGCAGTAACATATCACATTAGCTGGGTACCTTACCATTTTCTTAAATCAGTTATTTGAGTCAAAGATGTGTTGCACGTATCTTCTTACTGGTCTTTTTGATTATTTTGCCTGAGTTGTAAGAGTTAGTTTATCTCCAGGAAATGCCCAGCAAGAGTACTGAGACATCTTCAGGAGAAATGATGATGCTGAGACTAGATGACTTTTGTCTAGGTTCATCTCTGTGAAGTGGAGGGAATGGAAAAATTCAAAGACAAAGATTTTGCCCTAGATGTCAGTGCCAACCAGCCTGTCCTGGTGGCCGTGAAAATGCTCCGAGCAGATGCCAACAAGAATGCCAGGTCTGTGGTCTGCATTTTAAATTTTCCTTTATGTGTTTCATCTTCAAGATCAGGAACCCTCCTGGAAACTTCTGAGCAATTTGTTTCTTTTGAGATGGGAAGGTCTGTGAGCTACCTCACATTTCCATTGTTGTGCTTTATTTTTCTGATGGCTCAGTAGTCTTCAGCTTCATTCTCACCTCTCTCAAAAACAAATGTACATTTTCTGTTGGATATGCTACACGTTTACTTCCTAACCCCCTTTGCACAGCACTGTATACCCCAACATACACTAAAGACTGAATACGTACCTCTTCAATCATTATACACAGACACACGCCTGAATGTCATTACCTCCCCTTGCAGACTTTTCACAATCACACACATCTTTCTTGCTAAGTTTCTCCCATTCTCCTTTTTCCCCCCACATCTCTATTTACTTTCTCATCCTCTTTTTTCTCTTTTATGCTCCTTTTCTTCTATGTCCAGCAACCCCCCAAATGAGAAGCTACCTCTACTTGGAAAAGTATCCATGGACCTCAAAGCAAAAGGATCCACAGTCCTTTAGCAGTTTTCCAAACTGGCTAATAATCTCTTGGATCCTTTACTACATAAATTGCAGTTTCCAGCCACACTCCGTTGTCTGACAGCCTTTCCATTACAGTAATGGTGAGTTAATCCTCACCCAGAGAGGCAAGCTGGTTGAAAGCTGGTTGTATGTGTCTCAGAGAAATCTGCACATCTGGGTAACATATGTATTTCCCCATTTGTGTTGGCTTGATGTGTCTCACTGATATTCAAATTTAGAGAAAGTTTATGATCCCTATTCCTTAAATTATCATAAATTCCAAGAATGGTGTTAGGGTTTTATTAAAAGTCTTGCAATTGAAAGGATATGGCATGAAGAAGAAAGAAAGGCAAGGGAACAGAACTGTGGAGGTTTGGGAATTTTAACTGCAAGAATTTCAATTTAAGGATACTAGTATGAGTGAAAAGGGACATCCTCTGGGTCCCATAGAGAGATAGAATATTCCTGATATTAATCTTAGCACGTGATTGGAGAAGGTGGCAAGATGAAAGAAAAAAACTATGGGATGTGACAAAGCCTTTGCCCATTGTGTTTTTTGGTGACGTTTGGTGTCCCACCTGTGCCCACTCCAATTTAGCAATGATGGATGGCTTAGGCTCTAAGCTCTCCCAAGCCATGGACCCCCCGCTGGGTTTGAGATTGAAGGAGTAATGAAAGAGGAGAGGTGTTGTATCAGGACCACACTGATTTCAAGGATTTTATATTGACATAGTATGACTTCCGGTCCAGGATTCCTAGGAAACTCACAGGAGACTTATAACAGGTCTGCTTCAATAGTTTTGAGAATGTGGGCTAGTGGTCTCACTAACCCAAATATTGCTACTTGGAAGGTTATAGCCCACTTTGTGACTCAAGGGTGGTTGTCACCATCTATTCAAACAGTTATTAGTTTCAGCCAAGTGAGTACTTCTTTTGAAATGACGCTGCATTACCACCGTGAACTTTAAACAGCTGTTTTGAACAGGCTACTAAATATGTGTTGTGACTGACTGCTGGCGCACCCTGCATTAAAAGAAACCAGTATGAGAAAATGAAAAATTATCAGATTAAACAAGAGGGTGGTTATTCACTTTACAAAAAGTGCCTTCACTTTACTTATAGAGTGACTCCACGGCTTTTTGTTTGTTTTTCTCTTTTGGGGGGTGCTGCATTGGGTCTTTGTTGCTGCACGTGGGCTTCCTCTAGTTGCGGCGAGCAGGGGCTACTCTTCGCTGCAGTGAGCGCGCTTCTTGTTGTGGTGGCTTCTCTTGTTGTGGAGCACGGGCTCTAGAGCGCAGGCTTCAGTAGTTGTGTCAGACAGGCTCAGTAGTTGTGGCTTGCGGGCTCTAGAACGCAGGCTCAGTAGTTGTGGCGCGCAGGCTTAGTTGCTCTGCGGCATGCGGGATCTTCCCGGACCAGGGCTCGAACCCGTGTCCTCTGCGTTCGCAGGCAGATTCTTAACCACTGCGCCACCAGGGAAGTCCCTCCATGGCTTTTAAAACGGTAAAGACCCCAGTGCACTTAAGATATGACTTTCAGTTGAAGGTTTTATTTTTAAGACTAGTTTTTAGCAACATATATTTGATTTAGCAAATATTAATCACTTTCTATGTGGCAGGCCTTCTGTTGGATACTAGGGATGCAGATGTGAATGTCATGGTCCATGTTCCCCCGACCAAATTATAGTTGAATAAGGGTGCATCGCATTCCAGGATGAGTAGAATGAGACAGTTTCCAGGTACCAATTTCTCTGTTCTCTCAAAGGTTATCCAAAGGGAAACAAGACTCATTATAACGGTTAGGACTAGACTTTGCTGTGTCTTCTTTCCCCTCTTGATTCTAACTCTGGCAACCTCTGGGTTTATCTATGTCTCTGTCCTCCAAAGGAATGATTTTCTTAAGGAGATAAAGATCATGTCCCGGCTCAAGGACCCAAACATCATCCGTCTCTTAGCTGTGTGTATCACTGACGATCCTCTCTGCATGATCACTGAGTACATGGAGAATGGAGATCTCAATCAGTTTCTTTCCCGCCACGAGCCCCCCAGTTCTTCCTTCAGCAACATACCCACTGTCAGGTAAATACACCGGGTCTTCTGTCTCTTCCCTGTGTTCACGAGACTAAGCTGGGATCTGAAGTGGGGAGCAGTGAGCCTTAAAGTTCATCATTGTTCTGGAATGGTTGGGGAGGTTAGTATGCAGGGAATAGTAAAGCAGCTGCCCTTTAGGGGAAAGCAAAGAGATTCATAAAGAATAGAGAAGGGATGTTGAGGTTGGAACCCTAGTTTGTTGGTACCAACTATAGGGTGTGTACCTTTCACAGCTTCCTCTTTCCAGAGGCTACTTTCTCTCTTCCTTTATATTTCCTCAGTTATGCCAGCCTGAAGTTTATGGCTACGCAGATTGCATCTGGCATGAAGTACCTTTCCTCGCTTAATTTTGTTCATCGAGATCTGGCCACACGAAACTGTTTGGTGGGTAAGAACTATACCATCAAGATAGCTGACTTTGGAATGAGCAGAAACCTGTACAGCGGTGACTACTACCGAATCCAGGGCCGGGCAGTACTCCCGATCCGCTGGATGTCTTGGGAGAGCATCTTGCTGGTGAGTTTCCTGTGTTTTTGAGCTCTGCCCTAGCAGCTGGCATGTAGGCAGATGCAGACGGCGTGTAGGGGTGCACCTGAGACAGCAGGAGGCAGACAATAAATAGACTTTGATATTTTCTCTGACTTGAGATGATTTCCTTTGTGTACTAATTATTATTTTTTAAACTTGCCTATTTCTGCTGATAAAATATAACATGCTTACCATAGAAAGTTTGGAGGAAAAGGTTAAAAATATACCCATAATGACAAGAGACTTAGTACCATTTTTTTCATCTCTACCCTTTCCACCTACTGACTGATCTTAATTAATTTAGAGTATTAAAATCTTGTCATTTAAAGAAATGTTATCCACACAAAATATTTTTCTTCTGTATTAATTTCATAACCATGTTTCTAATTAATTATTTAGATTGATCTCTATATTTGTATTTTAATGATTTTCACCACTTACTTTTTAAGGTCCTCATTCTTTGCTTTATACTTTTTATCCAGCTCTTGGTATTCTGGACCACAAGTGAATAAGTTTTTTCCAAATGCCTCTTATTAGAAATATATCTTCTGATCATGCACATTTGGGACAATTTACTGTTGATTTTATACCATGTAGCTGATTTATAGAATTATTAGACTTTAAACCTTTACTTCCTACAATGCTGTGTATGTGTAATTTTGTCTTTTGTCATCTAATATTGCGGAGAAAAGCCTGATAGCAATCTAGTTTTGTTAATTTATTATTAATCTGTTTGTTTCTTGTTCATATCTTATAGGGTTCATAATTAATGTTGAAATAAGAAATGTATAGTTATGCCCTTCCTCTCACCAAGATAACCACTATTAATATTAATATTTTAGTGTATTTCCTTTGAGGATTTTTTCTATACATGTATTTCTCTGAATATATGTATTATATATATAATTATTTTATGTATTGGGATGATACTATGCACATACAATTCTCTCTCACTGGCAGTAAATATTCTTCAAAAACATGATTTTAATTGCTGCATAATATTCTATTGTATGGCTATATCCTATAATTTAATAATGTCACTATAATTTGATATTTAAGTACTTTCCAATTTTCTTCGATTATAAATGATGCTGTGATATATACCATTTTATGTAAATCCTTATAAAGATCTTTGTCATCTATATAGATGAATCACATATTTTACTCATTTATAATGTGATTATTAAGCTTTGTTCCCTTTAAAGGTATAGTGTGGTGTTGTAAAAGATTATTAGACCAAGATTCAGAGGGTCTTGGTCCAAATCTCAGTTTTTCCATTATTAATGGTCTTGTTAACCAGGGAATTTTAGTAAACCTCTCATCTCACTTTTCTGATCTGAAAAATAAGGATAAATAATATCATCTATGTCAGCACTGTATTTATTGAATAGAACATATGCAAGTATTTAATACATGCTGATTGCATCTGAATCTCATTGCTGTCACTCGTTAGTCTATCCTTTACGACTGTGACGATTATTGAACAAGGACTTCTCCGGGCACTTACACTAGATTTCCGTATCTCTCACATAGAAACAATTGCTTCCCATTCTAATTTTGCCTTTCCCCTGGGCATTTCTCCAAGGCTACCCTAGATCCTAGAGTTTGACCTTCTAACATGCACTGGGAGAGTCAGATAGCTTACGGCTGCCTCCTTTTCAGCCCTTGGATCTCATCTCCAAGAGAAGGAGACCCCAGCAGAGATCCTGAGGGTGAGAAAAGGGCCTGTAGCTTGGCATCGCAACAACTTCCTTTTGTTGTTTTCAGATCGCCCATGAGTATCTTGGCAGTCCCAGTATTCCTTGCCCTGGGTTGTAAAAGTGGCAAAACTCCAGACTATGAAAACCTAATCAGCTCTTGTTGTGCACAGATTATTCTTTTTCTTATTTAAACAGGGCAAATTCACCACAGCAAGTGATGTGTGGGCCTTCGGGGTGACTCTGTGGGAGACCTTCACCTTTTGCCAGGAACAGCCCTATTCCCAGCTGTCAGATGAACAGGTCATCGAGAATACTGGAGAGTTCTTCCGAGACCAAGGGAGGCAGGTGAGAACTGTTGGGGGTGGAGAGATGTGGCCTTGGGTGCTCTTGAAGGAGAGAGAAAGAAAAGCTCTGACTTAACAGGATAGGTCTGAGCTGGAAAATGGGCTACCTGGATCATAGTTGTTTGTCACTAATTATCCAGCTAATGTAAAAGACCAAGAACTTTTGTCACTAATTATCCAGGTGATGTGAAAGACCAAGGTCCTCCCTAGGCATCCATACACTCTGCTTTATCCATGTGTCAACCCGTTGGTCATTGGAGAACATGAGGGGTCCCCTCAGGCTGCTCCCCAACTCAAAGATACCAGAAAATAAAATCCTATCTCTCACGTTTGATCTATTTCCTGGTCTAGGCTGTATGGTTTGTCTTCCTGGTTGAGAAAACATAGGAACAAAAACGTAAGCTTAAAAGTGAATGAGGGATTTATTAGCATTCATAAAAAATTTGGTTTGGACTGTCTAGAAATGTTTCTTGACTTACACGTCCAGAGACCTTCAGGTACATCCTGGCCTTGCTGTTCTTGGAAGACACCTCTGGGCCCAGCTGCTGTGGCATCTCAGGACTCAGGAAAAGCTGGGCTTCTTAGCTTACAAGGGCCCCAATTCCTAGTTGAGATACTACAAGTTTCCTTTGGATGACTCAGTGTTTAAAGTTCCTGTGAGACGTGGGATTGAAAGCTCGCTGGTGGTGGGAGCACTGAGCCCCCAGAGTGGCCTGGCTACAGCACACACTTGGAGTGTTGCATCTCAGGCAGGAAGATGATGGCAGTTGAGGAGAGGGAGAAGGCTCTTGCAGAAGATTAAAAGTAGATCCTCTGTGGCTTAAATGGATCAAAGCAAGCAAAAGATAAGGGAATGACTAGAGATTGTACAATATGCAGCTTAAAAATAGGAAGGAGGGGTCCTAGAATTTTGTCTTGATACTCTGCAGATATTTTGGTAGCAGGAGATCTAAATTATCTATCTCGGTTATGAGGTAATTGCCTTCTTACCTTGGCAAAGGGCAGATTTACTCCGGTGTGCATGAGATAAGAGAGTAGAACAAGGAAAAATGTTTTTTCTCCTGGACTAGTAGCACATCGTGGCCACCTGGTTGACCTACTAGATTCTTGCGGCCAATTAAAGGCAGTGCATTCAATTAGAAAGTGTAATTCTATTATCATAATGATTCTAACTTGAGTACATCCTAGAATTGTAGGCAAAGGGAAGAATATTTTCAACCTTTCAGTTTCCATCATCTTATTATTCAGTGACTGAAATCCCACATGGAAAAAATAATTTTACACGAGGCAAAATTGAACTATCAAACATTCAGGCAAGAAAGGCATGCTTCCCCTCCCCCCACTTTATGTCCACTGTCTGCTTTGCGTTTGAATAGTAAAGTCAAATATTTGACTGAAGCCAAGGCCAAAGCCAAATATTACCATCATATGCTGAGTAAGCTTCTCATCTATAAGTTTAAATTTTTGATAAAAGTTTATTTAATTTAACATATGAACTCACTAAACATAATTTATTAAATTTGTATTTTATTACAATTTACAAAATTTAATTACTTTAAATTTTATTAAAATTTCAGTATTCAAATTTTAACAGTTTGACATTAGAATTAAGGACGGTAATTTCTCAACACTATCAGCTGCTAGATGGATTTTATGGTCTCTAGACTACACATGTGTGATCTAATTTGTTTTCAAATGGCACAATGTCACCAACTTGTTGAACATAGCAGATATAATGCAGAAGAAAACTTTTCAGTAGCACAAATTCTAGAAAGAATCTTATACTTAGGGCTCACAGCTTAAGCAAATCTTAAATCTTTTGTATTCAATTGGAAGTCTATAATAATAATTTCAATAATTTTAAAATGTATTTGACATTTTTGTTTTCAATTTATTTTTACAAACTGTAAAGAATTCTCAGACAGCACTTTTCTTAAAAGCTCATGGTCTAAATGGAACTAAATAATTAAAAATTGGGACTTCCCTGGTGGTGCAATGGTTAAGAATCTGCCTGCCAGTGCAGGGGACACAAGTTCATGCCCTGGTCTGGGAAGATCCCACATGCCGCGGAGCAACTAAGCCCGTGTGCCACAACTACTGAGCCTGTGCTCTAGAGCCTGCGAGCTACAACTACTGAAGCCCGCACACCTAGAGCCCGTGCTCCGCAACAAGAGAAGCCACCACAATGAGAAGCCCACGCACCACGACGAAGAGTAGACCCCGCTCGCCACTAGAGAAAAGCCCATGCACAGCAACGAAGACCCAATGCAGCCAAAAATAAATAAATGAATGAATGGATAAATAAATAAAGTTTAAATTTAAAAGAAATGAATGCTCAAAACCATCATAAGATATCATCTCACAACTTTAGAATGGCTGTTATCAAAAAGACAAGAAACAACAAGTGCTAGTGAGGATGTGGAGAAAAGGGAACCCTCATGCCCTGTTGGTGGGAATGTAAATTGGTGCAGCCTCTGTGGAAAACAGTGTGGAGGTTCCTCAAAAAATTAAAGATAGAGCTACGTTATGATCCTATGATGCATGACATAAGCTGGTGTTGGTGTGGGAGAAGGCAAGATGGAAATAGTTAATGATTTATCAGCTGCAAATGTTGGACCCATGTTTCAAAGAGCTTGAGAAATTTAGGTTTGCTTCAGAAATGTGGCAATATACCAAGGTGTTAAAAAGCATAAGTAAGGGGGCTTCGCTGGTGGCGCAGTGGTAGAGAGTCCGCCTGCCGATGCAGGGGACATAGGTTCGTGCCCCGGTCCGGGAAGATCCCACATGCCGCGGAGCTGCTGGGCCCGTGAGCCATGGCCGCTGAGCCTGCGCGTCTGGAGCCTGTGCTCCGCAACGGAAGAGGCCACAACAATGAGAGGCCTGCGTACCGCAAGAAAAAAAACAAAAACAAAAACAAACAAACAAACAAAAACATAAGTAAGGAAATGACAGCAACAGATTACAGGCAAACAGAAGATGACCTGGAGTCAATAGAGTGGCATCTTGCTGGTGGAAACAGTCAGTAACTGGTTCTTTGGGAGTAGAGCCAAATACAACTCTAGGCTGGAATTCAGGGCAGGGCTGTAGAGGGGGTCAATGTACAAATATTGGTGAATAATGTAAAGAAGAAATCCAATCTTCTCTCCCTGGGCCAGTACAGGAGAGAGGGAGCACAGAGAAGATTATGGTTAGGAGCTACATGGATATATCCCACATCTCAGTGACTAGGGTTTTATTCCAATAAAGGAGCTTAGGCAACTAATATACTTTCTGCCCTTTTGCCGTGATTGGCTCAATCAGAATAAACCTCATTGTGGCTAGGCTATAAATAGAGAATTTGGTGTTCTAATCACTTGCTTTCCAGTTTAAGATGTCTTCTTGCTTCAGTTTCATCTTTTGCATGATGGTAGGGAACACAGGATGGCCCATCAGGAAATTCTGCTCCAGAGAACTGGAAAAGACAAAAGGAATGGAAAAAGGACTGATGGGATTTAGAATTCTCATGAATAGGAAGAATAGACACCCCACTCATTTCACTTTCCAAGTCCAAGAAAATGGGGAGTGGGCAAATCATACTATGATGCAACTGCTCTTCCTTTCTCTGCGCTCTTCTTAATATTCTCATTTTTTGTTCATTTTTCTTTCCAAAGACTTACCTCCCTCAGCCTGCCATTTGCCCTGACTCTGTGTATAAGCTGATGCTCAGCTGCTGGAGAAGAGACACCAAGCACCGTCCCTCATTCCAGGAAATCCACCTTCTGCTTCTTCAGCAAGGGGACGAGTGATGCTGTCAATGCCTGGCAACAGGTCCTCCTCACAAGACCTACCACTCACCCACGCCTAAGCCACTCCATTTGGACATTGAATGGACCTGAGAGACAGAGGCTTGTTTGCCTTTATCTCTTTCTGTCCCTCGTCTCCCTCCACTCCACTCCCCCACTCTCTACCCCGACACATATATACTTTTTTTACATTAAAGAATTAAAAAAGAAGAAAAAAAAAAGCCTAGGGCAGAATAGGGCAGATAAAATCTAGTAAAGAATCTTACTTGATATACTAGAAAAGTTGGATAACAAAGGCTAGATAATTGAGATAATTTATAAAGGTTAAATATGCTTGTGTTTATGAATGTGCAGATTCTACAATATGTTTTCCATGTCATCTTTAAAAAAAAATGGTTTCAGAAAGAAAAACTTGAAGAATAGTAATGTCTTAGGAAACATGAGATTAGACTTAGGGAAAATACTTGGTAAGTGTGGAGAATCTGATGAAATGGTATTCAGTAACTAGTCACCAATGGTTTAATTTCCTAATTTGGCCTGTAGACATGTCCTGAACTCTGCATTTTCCTCTCCTGGCGAAGTAGATGCTAACATGCTTGAAAAAACCTGCCTACTTTGAATGGGTGTTTTGTTCGTTCATGGGCAGGGATCAGGGTTGAGATCTATATGCATAGGAAATACAGAGGATGTACGTAGGAAAGAATATCTACTGCAAGGCTATATGAACAGGAATAACATTTAAAAAAAAAAAAAAAAAAAAAAGAAAAGAAAAGAAAAGAAAAAGCCTCGTGCATGGAAGTATTCTTGAATAGAGAATGGACACAGGAAAAGAGACCTGTGGAGGACAGGTAACAGATGTGATATTCATTTCTGTAGAGGGTCCTCCTGTTGTCTTGTTCAGACGTTTTCAGGTGTGTGTTTTAGTGAGAGCCTGATTTTGAGTCAGTACGAACTGTTGTTTTTTGATATCTTGATCCTAGGCCTTTTGGTTCATCTTCTCCAAATCTTCCAACTCTTAATGGATGAATACCAAATGGAACCCAAGGGCTGGTGATTGAATTTCTCAGGCATAAATCTGAAGGCCATGTACAATAGGGAATAGATATGTTCTGAGTGTTCCCAAAGGGTTGACTGAGGACCAATGAGGGGAAGTTACAGGGAGATTGATTTCCACTCCTTATTAGGGAAAACATAACCATAGGTAGAACATGCAAGGATGGATGGGCTGCCTCCAGAGATGGGGAGTCCTTTGTCACTGTCCTTTTGTCAATAGGGTTTCAAACATAAGTGGTTGTGGGAGATGATGTTTAATGTCCTTTTAACCCTATGAGTCCCTTGAGAGGAGCAGGTTGAGCGTGGAGGAGTCATTTGCTGCTGCTGCTTGGTGTTCACACTCTTGCCTTGGAGATGGTATGACCAGCAGAAAAAGAAAGTTTGAGGCTCTGGCTTCAGAATCCATGGATACTGATAACACTGTCAAATAAGAGTCCCCTCAGAACAGATTCTGAGCTTTCACACTCCACAGATCCTCAGATTCAGTAGGAAACAGGGAAAGAGAACCCTCAATTCCCTCTGAGAAGAAACAAGAAAAGACCACAATATAAGCTTCCCAAACTTAGAAGAAATAGACTTGACCCCTGGGGTCTGCTTCTGTTGCCTTCACCCAGCCCACCTTCTACACAGTCTCTCAGGAACTTGAGTGTTTCCCCCTGTCCAGCCTTCAGTGTTGCTCCAGGCCACAGCAGAAGCATAAATCCCCAATCCCCAAGGTTCATTTTGCGGGTCATCTTCCTTCCCCTAGAAAATGCCCTTTTCCCATGGTTGTCTTGTGAGTCTGGTCTTCAGTGCCTCCCAGGACTAACTTTGGAGAGAACATCAGTTTGGGAGCTTTGACCCTATTTCTGCCTCAAACCAAGTGTATCATCTTGGACAAGTCACTTTGCTTCTCTGGACTTTTGTTTCTTTATTGGAACAAGTTAGATGAGATGGTCTTGAAGTTTCTTCCAGTTCTGATACGTTCAGTGCTCATCGGATAACTGGATCTACAATTGATGCAGACTCAGTTATCTGATCATCTCCTGCTCTGAAGATCGTGGTCAGCAAAAGAGATCATGTAGGGAAGCCACTATAATAGTAGTAATATTAACACCTGTCATTTGTTCAGTGCTTTAAAGTTTACCATGTAGTGTACCACATACATTATCTCATTTGATATATGCAGGGCCAGACATGTTGTTTTATACTTGGGACCTGCCACACTCTCTACATTCCCAAGATCAGTGTTAACTTCATGTATTATTCAGAGTTCTCCAGAGGAACAGAACTAACAGACTATATATGTATATGGAATTGGGGGATTGGCTTACACAATTATGGAGGCGGAGAAGTCCCACAATCTGACATCTGCAATCTGGAGATCCAGGAAAGCTGCTGGTGGTGTAGTTCTGAGAACCAGAAGGCCAATGGTATAAGTCCCAGTTGAGGGCAGGAGAAGACTGATGTGTCAGCTCAAGCAGTCAGGCAGAGAGGGCAAACTCCCCCTTACTTTTTTCTTCTATTCAGGGCTTCATTGGATTGGATGATGCCCACCTACACTGGAGAGGACAATCTGCCTTACTCAGTTCACCAATTCAAATGCTAATCTCATCCAGAAACACCCTCACAGAAACACCCAGAAATAATGTTTAATCTGAGTGCCACATGTCCCAGTCAAGTTGACACGTTAATCATTGCATTTCAGTAGAATCATAGGGACTTGAAATCAGAGCCTGTAGCTTATTCTCCTTTATCCACGTACTTCTGGCAGGAGTACATCCAGACCAGGCCATGACTTCCTATGTGGCAAGAGGAAAGACATAATTTCCCCTTCCTTCGCCTAATATCTCTCCACTTACTTCTTTTTACAATTCTGCATCAATACACTGCATTTCATGATCCCATAAAAAATCATATTTAAAATGAACTTAGTATGTCTGGATTTTTCTGGTCTTGAGTCATAGAGGTAATCTATTTCAAGCAGCTGGCAAATATGTATTGTCAGGTACAGTTATCCTTTTCTGAGATGAGGAAGGCACCATTTTCTGGCACTAAGGCTTTGGTACTACAGATACAGTTTTAACTTCTCCCTTAGTCAGACCCATCGAGTTTAGCAGCACAAATCTGAGAGACCCAACAGGGCGCAATGGCTAAGGCTTAGTATGTAGATTTTAAAGGTAGCTGGAATCCAAATTAGAAGAATGAAGCTAGGAATTATGTAGAAAAGGAGATAGGAAAAGGGATGAGAAACTGTGGGGCCTTGTTACCTTTCTAGGAAGTTATCCTCTTCATGATATATGTGAAATATTTTATGTCCAGATTGTGGTTTTGGGGTAGTCAGATTTAAATGTATAATTTTGCTGGTGAATGTGCTGATAGCTAAGTCCAAATCTTGACGTGCTGTCCAGACACATACGTGCTAAGAAAAGATCTGGAGTAGAAAGAGGCCCCCAAGGGGGAAATGTGGTTTTAATGCTATGGAAAGATCACTTGCAAATGTTTAAGACTCTATGACAAAGGGCATTGTATGGAAATGGAGCAAAGGATGAATAAATGAACGTGCATGTGACTGGATGGGGCACATGGGAGTTAGAAAGAAGGCTACATAATAAAGGATAATGGAGAGTGCGTGAGAAGGATGGGGGAGGTCAGGGCAAGCAAGATAGACACAGGGGGTGCTGTTGAGAATCCATTCTGAAGCATGAAAGCAGATCTCTCTGAAGAGAGAGCCGAGAGAGGACAGAAAGTAAGTGTGTTGAAGATAAAAGATAAATGTATATGGAGAGAGAAGCAATTCTGGATGATAGAGATTATAAAAGTATTTAAAAAATGAAAAGTCAGGTGCAGAGTATGACATGGAAGGGAGCTTTTCAGAGATTTAAGAAAAGGGAAGCCCAGCATGAACATAAAAACACACAAGCAACCACCAGGGAATGACCTTTTCATCTCACAGGAAGTGGGAGAGGGAGGCAGTTTGAACACATGTGTTCTAGACCACCTCAGGTACTGGGGTTTAATGGTGGTGAGAAGAAATCAACTCTTTGTCTGAACAGGACATGGCTTTCCCAGTGCTGTTTTGGAAATGAAGACCAAGAGGTGGGGAATTTATGTTAGCTCATGAGGCTTTGTGTTCCCTTCTTTGCTTCTGCTAATGAAATCCATTTTAAATAATGCTCATCACTGTTGTGCCTAGACAGGCCACAGGGAAACATTGGAACAACAGGCTTAAGTTAAACTAGACTAAATCTTGTTTGATATCTGCACAAGAGGTACATGCCATGTTGGAACCATGTGTTTTTCTAGTCTCATCCAGACTTCCTACAAGAAAGCCATGATGTGGGACTAAGCCGTATGTTTTGAGTAAAAGGAGAACTGAAGAAGGGGAAAGAGATGAAGATGTTCCAAAGAAATAGTCTAAAACAGAATAGCATCTGTTTTGCCCAAATATACCTCCAAAATGAAGAAAATTACAGTTAAGGCTTAAATTACTCCCAGTATAGAGGCAGTAAGGCTTTGATCCTAAATTGAGTTGATAGACCTGGAATTTGCCATCTTAGTCTTTTCAGTAAGACCTCTGACCTCTGGCAGTGCATATTGTAGGTTTCTGGAAGACACAGATCCAGATCTATGCTGGAATTTCCTTCTGAATTAAAATTTAACATTTTTATAGAAACAGATGAATGTCTTTTCCACTTGGTAAATGTCTTGGAATGCTAAATTGAGACGGAAAGAGACTGGAATGGTTAATGTTTATTGGATTTCTGGCATTTTGAGTTCTCTGCTACAATTAGCTACATTGCTTGGCTCAGACCATGGTGGGTAATTTGTTTAGTTGCTGTATCCTTTTTTTTTTTTTTTCAACTTGTTATTTTGAAATGCTTTAAGACTCACAAGAAAATAGTACAGAGTGGCCTTTCCCTAACACCAGGCTTTCCCGTTGATAACATCTCACATAACCGTAGTCCAGT